TACTGGGCTGCATTGGTAGGTGTGTTGCCAGTAGGTCAAGGGAAGTGATAATTCCCCTCTATTCAGCACTGGTGAGGCCACATCTGGAGTACTGTGTTCAGTTTTGCCCCCTCCCCCCCACCCCAATAGAAAGGATGTGAATAAATTGGAGAGGGTCCAGGGAAGGGCAACAAAAATAGTGAGGGGCTTGGGGGACATGACTTATGAGGAAAGACTGAAGGAACTGGTCTTATTTAGTCTAGAGAAGAGGAGACTGAGAGGGGATTTAATAGCAGCCTCCAACCACCTGAAGGGGAATTTGAAAGAGGATGGAGCTAGATTGTTCTCAGTGGTGGCAGATCATAGAACAAGGAGCAATGGTCTCAAGTTGCAGCAAGGAAAGTTTAGGTTAGATATTAGGAAGAATTTTCTCACTAGGAAGGTAGTAAAAAACTGGAACAGAGAGGTGGTGGAAGCTCCATCCTTGGAAGTTTTCAAAACCTGGCTAGACAAAGTCTTGGCTAGGATGATCTAGTTGGCAATGATCCTGCTTTGAGCAGGAGGTTGAACTAGATGACCTCCTGAGGTCCCTTCCAACTCTAACTTTCTATGATTCTATGTCCTGCTTAGGGAACTATTTACAAGAATCATTTACAGTAAAGCTTGCTCACAATGAGCCTCCTGAAGTGTTTCCCACCAGAACTGCAGGCTAGAATCCAGGTCACTGAGCTTCCTTCATCACAGGTATACATTTACTCTGAACATGGTCTTTTTTATAAAGTGTTTATGCTACCTGTAGGCATTTCACCTTATTAGTTGTACACTGCAATTTCCTTATAACTAGTTTATTTATGTTGTTCCCTTTTAAAGAGCTGTTAATGTTGTTTTGTTGGATTTTTCTTTTTACTTACTTTCTCCTGAAAGAATTTGACTGTCATGACATTATAGTCAGTGTTAGAGAGGCTCATCTGTAAGGACTTCAGTAAAAGGATGCCCACCCAGCTAGCAGAGAGGCAAGAGCTCTGCCCAGGGATGCTGGGTCTCTGACCCTGGTTGCTGCCCCTAGGGGCTAACATGCATCCTGTGCCTGCTCCCCTCCCCATAAATTCAAACCACACAGGCTGCTGTGCACCCTGGGACCTCCAAACCTCCCCTTTCTAGTCCCAACCTGGTCGACCAGTAATAGCTATAACTAAAACATAAGCACACTGAATAAATTTAAACTGTAAGCCTACTGGCTGCATAACAAACTTGTCACCCTAGTCCTTTAACACTCTTTACTCAGAGGCTTCATTGCAAGCAGCTGTTGCCAAGTTCCTCCCACTGATCCACTTGGGTGTGAAGCTTTTTCCTTTCGTCTTGCAGTCCTCCGGGTGATCTGCTCCTAAGCAGTCACTCTGCCAGTGTCTGTTTCAGGAAGAGCTCTTGCCTCTCTGCTAGCTGGGTGGGGCTTCCTTTTGGGTTGTTACTTCTACTAACTGGTGTCATCAAACCGTGTTATCAGTGAGAGAAATATACAGGCAGCAAATGTGTTTGCTTTGAGAGAAATAGTGAAAGATCAGCAATGAGAACCATGATAGGGGAAGGATTTCTGTAGGCATTTCAGTATCAGAGGAAGAATTCACATCTCTCAAATAGTACTTCAGAAGTTCCCAGTAGTATTTTCAAAAAATTAAAACATTTTATTTACTTTAGCTGATTTTTCAGAGCATTATACCTGATGAATCTGTACATTCTGAAATACAAATATTGCAGGTGGGCAAACTGGTTCTCTTATGACATTATTGGAGGGCATCAGTTGAAAAAAGAGGAAAATACTCTTGTAGATGGGACTGGCTTTCCAGATTATATTAGAGCAGTTTCTTGCAGCAAGGAAGCACCTTCAAGATATGAGACCCCCCAATAGATAGGCAGAGGCTGGCCCTGTCACTGAAGAGGTAAACCACAAACATGAGGTTGCCCATGAAGGAATTGGTTGGGATTGTAAAGTTGGAAGGTAACACAGGTTGAACCAGTAGACTTCCAAGTCCTAGGGAAAAGAAGAGTAAAGATGCTGGCCTTCAGAAAAGGAGACTAAAACACTCAGGGAACTGGTAGAGGGATCCTCTGGGAGGGGTCCTCTGGTAAGCATGGGGGTGGGAAAAGACTCCAGGAAAGCTAGTCATACTTTAAATAACCTGCAGTATGGGCACAATAGAAAGCTACCATGAAGAGAAGAAAGGATGGGGAGTTCAGCTGGAGACCAGCTGGGCTAAACAATGAACTCTTCAGTGAGTGGAAACTCAAAGGATCCTACAAAAAGTGAAATCTTAGCCACAGACTAGGGAAGAGTTTCAGAGTATCACATTGGCATTCAGGGAGAAAATCAGGACAGCCAAGGCATAAATTGCAGCTAACAGGAGACATAAGACAATGAAGAGGAAGTAATGTCAGAAATAAGAGGAAGATCAAAGAAAATATAGGTCCCTTATTGAATGTAGAGCGTGGTCTGGTAATGGATCATGTTGAGAATGCTGAAGTATTTAATGCCTTTTTTCATTTAGTCTTCCTGAATAAAGTCAGCTATAAGATGAGTGCATTTGTCAGCAAGGAAGGGGGAGGAGATAAGCAGCTTAGAGAAGCTGGTTATTTTCAAGTCGGCAGGGCTGGATGGGATGCTTCCTAGAGCACTCAAGGAATTGGTTGAGGAAACTGCAGTACTACTTACTATTATGGTTTAGAACTCTTGGGGTTGGGTGAGGTCCTGGATGACTAGAAGAAGGCAAATGTAATGCTTGTTCTTATAAGGAAAGATGAGGATCCAGGGAATTACAGACCAGTGACTTTGACATTGACACCTGAAAAGATTTTTGGAGCAGGTCATCAAGAAATGTATAAGCATTTGAGGGAGATCAAGGTGATCAGGAAGAGCCAACATGCATTCACCAAAAACTAGTCATGCCTGACCCACCTAATTTCCTTCTATGACAGGGGACCAGGCTTCACAGATGAGGGGAGAGCAATGGATATTATATAACTTGACTTTACAAAGCCTTTTGACACTGTCTCCCATGACATTTTCAATAGTGAGCTATGGAAATGCAGTCTAGATGAAAGTACTGTAAAGTGGCTTTGTAACACGTTGCATTATTGTGCTCAAGGAGTAGTCATCAAGGGTACTGACAGATGTGGGGGGAACCTCCCCCTCCCACTTTATCAGAAGCAGCAGCGCATTACTTTGACCCGACTCCACAGCATCTGTATAGATCAAGTGCTTCAGCGAGGCTTTTTGGTGCTTTTATCTAAAGCTGATTGAATCATCAGCTATTAGATAAAATTTAAAAAAAAAACACCACTAAAGTGCCCAATCTATACAGACATTGGGAAAGCCAGGTGTAACTAACGTGATGCCTCTTTTGGGCATGTGCTGGGTTCAGCACAGGAGCGCACCAAATTTAACGTGCCATTTGGGGGGGGGGGGGGGGGGGGGGGGGGGGGGGGAAGGAAGGTGGACAGGGGGTGTTCCATGTCTGCAAGCAGCCCAAAAGCTCAGCAGTTAGTTGTGACGAAGTATTTGAATGGGATTCTGCAGCGATCTGTCTTGAGTCCAGTACTGTTTAATATCTTCAGAAATGCTTTGGAAGATGGGATTGAGTATACGATTTAGCAAATTTGCAGGTGATGCCAAACTGGGTAGAGGTGCAGGGAACCTAGATGATAGGATAGGATTAGGTTCAGAATGACCTTGATAAACTAAAGAATTGGTCCAAAATTAATTGAATGAAATTCAATAAGGACAAATGAAAGTTCTGCACTCACAGTGGAGTAATTGCATGCACAAGCAGATTGAGGGATGACTGGCTAAACTTTAATACTGCAGAATAGGATACAGGGGTTATATAGCGCATCATAAGTTGAATATGAACTAACAGTGTGCTCTTGTTACAAAAATAGTTTACAGGGCTTCTAGCCCTACTTTTCTGTTTCTTGTACTGTGGAAAAGCAGGTGGCATTTTATATTTGGTAGCTGGCAATCTCTGATTAGGCTCTGGTATGTTGTCAGTCACTTTGCTGGTCTGTCCCTGGACACTCATGGAACCAGAAGAATTCCAGGACTCTGAGTGACATTCTCACCGATCATGACAGCTAATTTTTCGATGGCCTGGCTAATGTATGGAACAGTACACTGACCTTTGTCATAGACACCTGTTCCCACTACTATAGCAGCAGAGGTCCCTTTGGTACATGGGGGTACTGAGACAGCTTAAGTGTGAGGGTAGGCAGCTGGTGCGCAAGTAGCTCTTGACCCATGCTGAAGCTGATCAGTTGTGTTATAAATCTTTCTTAAAGGACTATGATGTGGCAGTGGCAGCTGCTAAGAAGTGTTTTTTTCCCCACTGCCGCCTGCATCTGCAAAGTGTGATCCAGTGGAACTGTTCTGGGTGGTAAACAGTCTGGTTAACCTGACTTGTTTCTGTCCAGAAACTGAGTCTATTTCAATCCACTTTGACTAGTTTGTCACCTACTTTGCAGACAAAATCGTGCATATCCAGCACAGCTTGAGGACCACTACTTTTGCTGCAGAGTAAGTTCTGGGTTGAGTAAGCACTTCTGGTCCACTTCCAGGTCTGCCAGGAAGCATGTAGCGGGGCCACCCTGCACACCCCCCAACTCAGCGACTGGTGCCTTCTGGGGGGGGGGGGGGGGAGGGGGGAGAAGACACACCCAGAGTCCCCCCGTGGCTGATCGCCGAGCTGGAAGGGTGCAGTGGGGGGCCTACACGCTCCCTGGAGGACTCAGAAGTGGACCAGAAGTACTTTTAAAGATGTGTCTATGTCCGAACTGCTGATTCTCCAAGTCTGCATCAAATCTTCAGATTTGGATTCGGACAAATCAGATCAGGGACAGTGATCCAAATCAATGAATCCAATCACTGTCCCTGATTTGGACTGAATCCAAATCGAATAGGGCCCGCTTTGTACACCCCAAGTAGTTATTTGAATAAAAAACAATGTAATTCCATGAACCTGAAGTTAACTTACCAATAGTTTGGTCAAGTTCCTGAATCAACGATAAGTTTCCTGAACAAAACTCTGGAGTCATGTAGACAACTCTATAGTGACCTCTAGAAAAATTGGGAATATACACTGTTATACAAACTGAGATAAAAGCATGCAAGCATTAAGGAGGGCAAAAGAGTGGGGAGGGGAGCAATGTAAAGAAGTTTTGGATGAGGAAAGAAAAGAACAGAGGAAGAGGATAGAGACAAGGAAGCACGGCAGGGGAAAACTAAGAAAACTTCATGACAAACAAGAAAGAAGAAATTAATTTAAATAGATTTGAGAGTGAGAAGAATCCATTAAGGTCATCTAGCCTGACTTCCTATAAAGCACAGGTCTTTAAATTTTACCCAGTGATCCCCAAAAGGTTGGGAGTTGAGCTAGAGTGGAAGGGAAAACAGAATGATAAACAGAGGAGGGGTGGGGAGAAGCAATCAAAGAAAGGACTAGTAGTGACCCACAAATCTAAATTTGCCTAACTCATTCTAATTTAAGACCTCCTTTTGTTATAATTTTGCCAAATTTTAATAATTAGAGTAAAGGGATACTATGCTGTGTGTCTGCCTGAGGTGGAATTATGGGGTTTTTATTTGGAAAAAGCTGTCTGAAACAGTTCAGCTTTCCTGAGAACAAGGTTATGGTAAATGTGTGTTTTTGACCACGTTGAAAAAATTCTTACAATATTTCTATTAAGTTGTAGCATCTCCAAGCTTCAGAGAAGGGACTGGAAGTTTGGCAAGGGAAATTATTCTGGTGTCAAAGAACTGGCTTTTCCCACACCCAAGAAAGACTCTCCAAATCTGGCCAAGTAAGTAGCTTTAAAAAATATTAGTTCCCACAGGAATCACAGTAGAGGTTGGACATTGACATTATTATTCTAGAGAGTCCATCTGCACCCAAGACACATAGCCTTTGTGTGCTATCTGGATTGTACATGCACCATCCTAGAGGTACAAAGACTAAGAAGGTCTTCCCTCAAAACTGTTCCTTGTAGTTGCTGTGCTTTCTGGGCTGTTGTCCTCCATCAGGACTGGGAAGGCAATGTCCTTCAGCTGCAGGAGAAAAACCTTGAAGATCAAAATAAATCATTTGTTTTCCTCTTTGTTCTCTTCACCTGGAGCCCATATGTTAATGGAGCTTATCAGCAAAAGAAAGCTGGGTCTTCTGGTCATGGAGCAGCCTTTACAAAACTGTAAATGGAGAGGCTCTCATTGCTCAATAGAGCCAAAGAACCAAGCACAGAGCCACAGCTAATACATATTTAGAGAGATCGCATGGTCATGAGTTCACATCACAAATAGCTAAAGACAAGTAAAACCATGTTGTGCCAGTAACTGGAGTTTTTATTATATTAGACTTATATTAGACTTCCAGGTCATGAAGATGGCTTGGTACTGACTTGGTGGAGGACCTTTTCCATCTCTTGAGATCCAGAGCCTGAACAGAGGCAAGGCCCTATAGACCCAGCAGGTTTCCTTGACTTGAAACAACTCTGCCATCTGCTTCTTCCCCCCACCCCGGCACCATCTTGGCTACCTGTATTAAGGGAAAAGCACTCAGCCAGCCTGCATACCCTACAGAGCCAACAGCCCTCCCTGGACAGGTGCCACCTTGTGATAAATAACATTTAAGGATGCTCCTTGGTGTTGCCCTTTGACAGGGACAGAGGATCTTTGTTATGTCCCTATTTTAGTACTTTTGAATTTAATGTTGTGTTTGTTGGAGGGATTCAGGGGAGATATGTGCTTTTTTGGGGACAGCCACAGACACTCTGTAGGACAGGAAAGTATGGGTATGGAAGAGATATTAGGGGAGGGTAGAGGGATCTCTCCTGGGTGTGATAGGTAGGGCACTTGGAGCAAGAACAGGTTTCTTATAATCAGACATGAATGGGGGTTGGGAAAATTGGGAGGCACTGCTGGGATTCGCTGGAGAGTCTGTTCTTATGGGTGATAGACAGGAAAGCGGGAGTGAGTTTTCAAGTTCCGGGGTATCATTTGGGGAGTCTAATGTTGTCTCTCATTTGTGGATGGTTTGTCATTTATTGTAAACCACCCTGAAGCTTTCTGGTTAGGATGGGATATAAATCTACATCTGAACAAACATTAACAGTAAAATGTCATGGCATCTGCAAGGCCTGTCCAGCACCAGAGATTTCACCTATTGAGATCTATGCACTTCCGTGTAGCTCATGCGTGGTTAGGTTATTTGGAGTGAAGAGGAAAGGCTGATACAGTTAGCCCTGGTGCTTTATAAGAATCTGCATTACCTCTGCAGTACAGGGCCAAAAGGTTTTTCAGGGAAGATTATTTTTGCACAGGGATACCAATACCTGAGATAATCAAGAGGACTTCCCTGAACGAGGCTCTGTCCTATGGGAATGGGGTGGAGACAAGCCCTGCATTTTGGTAGGGGTCCAAGCCCTGAATGCTAACTTTGAATGACATGGTGCTGGAGATAAGAAGGGTTGCCAGAGGGAGAAGGTGCTGGATGGCAGAGCTGATAAAAAGATTTAGTGCTTAGGTCAGAGGAAAACCCCAGGGATTTGTCCAAAATTTGATCTCCTGTTCCTTCCTGTTCCCCAGCTAGAATGGTCACCAGTGTCACCAGTTGCCCCAATGGAACAGAAGTATCTGGTGTACATGTCAAAGGCCAGTATAAAACCCATGCATGATGGACAACTCAAAAAGCCCAGAGATTTTAGAGAAGGTATAATCACAGAAGAGGAGAGAAAAAAAAATCATTTGACAAAAATGTCACCAAAGCTGAGGGAAAGGAAAATATTTCTACATAGGCAGAAGAGGGCAGTAAGTGTTCAGAATGGTGGTACTTTGTGGTACAGACAGAAAACCACTGAAGCGTTAGCATTAGGGGGACAATCCTAACACTGGTATTTGGACCAACACAAACAGGCTGAGCCATGTGACATGATTCATTCAGAGTGTACTGGGAGAATCACAGGACTCACAAGCCCTCTTTGGGTTCCTCTTGCAGAGAATGGGTTTTTGGTTGTAGCCATGTTGGTCTAAGGACATATGCAGGCAAGGTTCTTTGGGTAGATGTGATAACTTTTATTAGACCAACTGTGGAGTTCGCAAAAAATGTTTTGCCAGCTTTTGGGTGCAATCACCCTTCTTCCAGCATAGGAAATCTCTGCTGTTCTGAGACTCCAAGGAATGAAAAAATCTAAAAGTGTGACAGGATGTCAGTGAGAATGTAAATAGGTGGAAATTAGGAAAACAAAAGATAAGAGCAGGGAAGGGAGGAAGGGGGAAATGAGCAGGGAAAAAAGCCAAAGGTGAGTAAGGGACACTCTACAATAGTAGAAAAAAGGCCCTTGCAAAAAACTTATTTTCCAACTACTCAATTGGTCTAATAAAAGACATAATATCTACCCAAACAACCTTGCCTGCCTCTTACACAGAATGTCTTTTGAATGGCATGCAGGCATCCCATGATAGCTCAGAATGGATGGCTAGGGAACTGGTTGGACCAGAATCAAATTGGTCAGTGTTTTGGACTGGGAGCCACTTCTCAAAAACTTCCCTGGCATTAGTACCAGAGGATCGTGCTTGTGGGGGAGGAAAGAAGGCTATCCCAATTAAAATAAATATAGTGATTTTAGTTAATTTATTAAAATTATTAAAAAGCATTTAAAAGAATTTCAGTATCTGTATTCAGGATTTGGGTGCTAAAAAAAAAAGTAATGAAACTTACGCTTTGATGTTCCCTATAACATTTTTTGACTGAGCTGCTCCAAGTAAACAAGCTGGAATGCCTGACATACTGTAAAAAGAAAGCAGAAGCAAGATTTGGTTCATTCAAGAAAGTCTGTGTTCTTTTTCTTGCAATACCTCTCAGTCAGTTCCTAATTTATGACAATATTTCACCTTTTACTCCATAAATACTTAATTTCTCTATTAGTTTCTTGCACAGAACTTTAGCAATGGCCTTTTTCAATATCTAAAATCTTCAATTGGTTCTTTACCCTGCTAGATTAAATCAGCTCATTTTGAAAATGTCAATATATTAGCGAAACTTGATTTTCCTTCACAAAAACTGTGATAGTTAGACCTTATCATATCATAATCTTCCAGGTGGTTTGTTACTCTATTATTGCCTTAATCAATCCACTAGCTATAAACAAAATAATTATTAACCTGTTACTCCTTTGTACACTGCTAAATTTTAAAAGAAAAATATAGGTACAACATTTGCCACCCTACACTTCTTTTATTAAGAGATTCTGTCATTTTACTGCCATTTCAGCGACTTTGCACATGAGCTCTTTCAGAACTTTTGGATGTACATTGCCTTGATCTTATCATTCGTATGTTTCACACCATTTTCCCTTCACATTTTTCTCTGATAGCACCTCATCTAGACTGACAGCCAAATTAACAGGGCTACAGAGCTACAGAAATTAAATTATTTTGCCTTCCATTTTTTCACATAAGACAGTATATGAAGTTTGTTGTGAAATACAGTATGGAGTCAATTATCCAGAAAGTCACTTAACTGGGAAGTTTTGTTTTAGCAAAACCGTCAGTCTACAGTTAGGTTTTATTTGTTAGTGAGACAACAGTGTGTTATTTATTTACTTGTACTTGAGATTTCAAAACATTACACAGTACAATACATTTATACATTTAGTTGTTGTTTTTAAATATTTGGTGTACAGTACCATAATTATAGTTTTTAGCACTTCTTACTGTGTTGATTACCCCCAAAAAAACCCTGATTATTCAAAATGGTGGTGACACTGATTGCTCTGGATAAATTACATTTTTTTTTTTTTTTTTTTTTTTTTTTTTTTTTTTTTTTTTACAAAGCCACCAGTTAGAAAGATATTTCACTTACCTGATATGCACAAGGGGGAAAAACTGAGCTAGTATAATTCTTATTAACAATAGATGTCACTAATTTAGATTAAAAAAATTATGTGGGGCTTTACAACTTATCAAAAACAAGTTGCATAAGTGCAGACCATCTCATTTTTTCTCCTCCTTAATCAAGGCAATGAAATGTCACCCTGCAACTTTTGCATCAAGCCTGTAAAAGACTTCAAGAGATGGAGAATCTATCCAATGCTTGGTAAATGGTTCTAGTTGTGAACTGCCCCCATTGTTTAAAAATAAAATTGTGTCTTAACTCCAGACTGAGTTTGTTTAGTTTCAGTTTTCAAACACTGTTGGCTCAGGCATTGTTAGACATGGACTAATGTAACATTTGAAGCAGTCCAAAAACCTTTAGAGTAGTCCAAATGCAGGTGCAGATGTACTCGGCCAATTAAGTGTTTTAAAAACGGCTGCTCTACTTCAAAAACAATCCTAAGGAGGAAAAAAAATTGGGAACAACTTTGAAGTGTGTCACTGTGAAACATTTCAGGTTATGTTTGCACCCTCTAGCAGAGCGTGCTAAGGAGTTGGTCATTTTTCCCAGATCTCATGATATTCCACTACCCAGCATCCCACAGCTGCCTCTGATATTCATGTCAAATTCGGCTGCTATGGGGTCACAAGTAGAGGTGCACCAACATATTGGTGCATGTCAGATCAGCACCAATAAAAGGAAAATTTACATTACTGGCTATCAGATTTTGTTTTGCCAGTATAGCCTATAATGTTCACTGTTAAATATAACATGCCTTCTGGCTGGGGCCCCTGGGCTCCATATGCATGCATTCATGCAGCTGCTCACATGCATGTGACCAGGAATGCAGCCGGGCAGTGTGGAAAGCAGCGGGTAAGTCTGTGGATGAGAAGGGGCATGGGGGAGGGAAGGGGCATTGGGAGGGGGGGCAAGATCAAGGCCCCCATGGTGAGGGAGGGGCAGGAGCAGTGAATGGGACCTGGGGCAGAGAGAGGGACAGACATGCAGGCAGCTCATCCAGGGGTGTGGTGGGAGTGGGGAGCAGGGGCAACTTCCTGCTGCTGTGTGCACCCCTGGGGGAGGCATGGAGGGCGTGTGCCCCCTGGATTTGTGCGTGAGGTGGAGGCAGGCTGCCTGCTGCGGGTCTGGGGCCAGGAGCTGCTCTGCTGGGAGGGGTGCCGGGTTATGGGGAATTTTGGGGTGGCCATAGCCCCCCAAATCTCCCCTAATGCCACCCTTGCTTAGGACACTCGGCTCTGCTGCCTTTCACTTGGGAGGGGCAGGCAGGGGGCACACGGTCAACGCAGGGAAAGGCAGCAGAGCCGAATGCCCTGAGCAGGGGCGGCTCTGGGGCAGCTTGGGGGGGCATGGGCAACCCCAAAATGACCCGAACACCCCTGTATCCACCCCTCCCAGCGCCGCCACCTGCCCCACACAGCTGAGCCCAGCCCCAGCCCAGCCCCCCACCAGGAACGGGCCAGCCAGCACAGCCCCTGGCCACGAGCCTACAGTGGGCAGCCCACGCCCACACCACACACAAATCTGGGGGGAGGGAGGTGGGCAGGTGGGCATATGCCCCCCATGCCTCCCCTGGGGGTACACGCAGTGATGGGGAGCCACCCTCCCTCCTGGCACACCTTGGACAAGCCGCTCATGGCTCCGTCCCGCTCCTGGCCTCAGGGTCGCATTCATTGCCCTGGTTTGGGAGGGGCTGGGGCTGCGGTAGGCACATTCCCTCCCTCACCATGGCGGCCTCAATCTGTCACCCCCAACGCTCCTTCCCGCCCCCCCCCACAGATTTACCACCTGGACACTGTTTTCACACTGTCCAGCTGCATTCCTGGCTGTGTGCGTGCTATGGCTGTGCACATGTATGCGGCATTTATCGGTGATGTTATTGGCTACAATGGGCAAAAAAAACTGATGGCCAATAACGTTAATTTTCCTTTTATCAGTGCCGATCTAACAGGGCACCAATATATTGGTGCACCTCTAATGAAAAGTCTTTGGTTAGTAAAGATAACTACAACAAGAAGCAATTTCTAAAATATATAGAGAAAAAGAAATAGTAGCAAAAGCACAGGTGTGTTATCACTGGAGAATAATAAAACATTCACCAAGAATTCAGAAAAAGAAAGAAGTGTTCAAAATATTTCTCCCCTATTTTGTTTAAAAAAAAAACACAAGCAAACAAAAAATTAATTGCAAAATATTAGTTGTTCTAACGCTACTTAGATGCTGAGAAGCAACTTGTAAAAATTAAACATTTTAACATCTTATTTGAGCAGCTTGCATTGAAGAGTTTAAAAAGAATTGGCTAAAGCTGTTCTCTTGGCTCCCCTTTTTAAGAATTTGTCTTGTGTTACATAAAGCAGATCAATTCATTTCTGGAAGAGATTTCAGAAGAGCCACAAAAATAATTTCAAATATGGGAAACTACATTGCAATGAATGAATTAAGATGGGCAATCTATTTAGTTTATCGAAGAGATATTTAAGACATTTATTTGATCATGGTCTGTAAGCATCTGTTTGGACACCAAGAGCCCTTCTACTGCGAGAAGTTTTAGAAGTGAAAATAATTAATACTGGAACAACTAACTTAAGGAAGGGTTGGATTCTTTGTTAAAGATATGCTTTATCAACCAGAGGTTACTGGAGTTGGGCAAGGAACAACTAGGTTAAATTCTCTGGCCTATGTTATATAGCAGGGGCGGGCAATTATTTTGGGCGGAGGGCCGCTTACCCAGTTTTCACAGGCTGTCAAGGGCCGCATGGGTAGCCCCTCCCCTTGACAGGTGCCCCACCCCTTGACAGGTGCCTCACTCCCTGGTCACCATCTTGGGACCAATGTCCCAATGTCCTGGGACCAATGTCCCAGGGCCAGCATTGGTGGGGCCCAAAGCAGGGCTCAGGCTGGCAGGGGTCTGTGGAGCCGGGCTGGGCTGCACCAGCAGGTAGAGCGGGGAGCTGGCTCGGCTCCATAAAGCCCCTGCTGGCTGGGACCCCACGCTCCTGCCACCCTGCTTTAGGCCCCACCAGAACTGGCCCCGGGACACCGGTGTGGGCCCTGTGCTCCGGCTGGCTCCCACACCTGCTCACTCCTAGTGCCCCCCAGTACAGGCCGGGGGCAACGCACAGCCCCGACCCCCTGCTCGCCAGCAGGGAAGAAGCTGGTGCTGAAAACAGGGAAAAGCGGCCCCTTGCCCGCCCCATGGCCGACACTCCCTGCTGCAGCTGCTCACAGCCCACACGGGGCTGTCTGGAGCAGGCACAGGCAGCCCCACACGGGCTGCAAATGGCTACAGCGCGGGGCGCTGGCCACAGGGCGAGCGAGGGGCCGCTTTTCCCTGGGGTCACCACCAGCTTGTAACATGCCCCTGCTGCCAGCCTCGGGCCCACGCCCCCTCTGGGCTC